ACCAGGGCTAATAATAAATTGTTCTATGATTCAGAAAAGGTAAGACCCAATGACTGTAGTCCTATAATTGCAGCCCAAGCAACCTGCTCTGACAGATGAGGGACACCAGAGACTGTGGAGAGAGTGGGGGAACAAGAGCGCAAGGATGGGTTGCAAGATATACTTCAACTGACAGTGACTAGAATAGATCAAGAAATAAGCGGTCTCTAGGGTATATATTTAAACTCTCAGGAGAAGACAGGATCAGCATCTAGGGGCTGTATCATTTAGAAGCAGTGCAATATAAGGGAAAGGCTGAAGTATTGCTGATCTCTTGGTGGTCTTTATTGATGCGCTTACATCCAGGCAAGCAAGCGCAAGCAACAAAAAGATGAGTAAAATTAAATTAAATTAAATTCAATAAAAAAACGAAAACAAAAGAAAAAAAAGGAAAGAAAGAAATACACAACATATGACGAGAACGAGGGGAAAAAGTAAAAAGAAAAAATAAAAAAACACCAAAAAAAAAAAAAAAATAGAGGAATGGGGGGAGTTAAAGGGACAAACAAAAAGAAAAAGAAAAAGAAAAATCAACGCAAGTGATCTAATTCCAAGTTAGAAGACAGCAGCAAGATCTTCTGCTTGGAATAATCATCATCATTATTACTATTGTTCTATCAAGCATACATGAAGTGGTCCATACCTGTCTTCTATCCATTTGCTTTTTGTGTCCACTTGACTCGGTCAACCCGAACGTGATGGCGGATGCTACTTGTTTCTTTTTTCGTTTGTTCCGAGCCATTGGGGGCAGAAATTCTCTTCTCGCGCTGTTTCTATCAATACTACCTATATCATACTGTACTAATTGCTGCCCTTCTCCCTATGATTCGTGGTGTAGTCCTGTTGTTGGGATTCTTATGGGTCATCATTGGGCAGCATAGACCCGAGAGCGTTTCCTGACGATGCTCTAACTGATCTGATCTAGCGAGTATATACTGGAGAATATTGATATTTCTGCTTACGTAGTTGGACCACCAGGATGGAAAGCATACTAAAAGAGTAAATGAAGAAAGATGACAACTAGTCATTTCGAGCTGCTTTTATTAACCCTATGCGAAGACGCGGAGCTAATCGGTCCTTCCATAGTGCTGGGGCGCACGATGATGCAGAGAGACCGAAAGAAACAGGCCAGAAAATCGACAGATCCAAGTCGACAGAGGGGAATGACCGATAAGGTTAGAGGAGAGGGCCACTAGGTAAGTAGGTAGTTTCCTAAAGTAAGGTACCACTAGCTCACTAGCTTTGTCTTAGATTCGAGTCACCCGAGTGCTGGACATATTATTGTTGCATCCTGCCTTATATTTCTATGGTCTAGTCTAGTCCTACAATATTTGAGTATTAGTCTAGGACTCGAACTATGAACTATGAACACATCAGGGCTACTATATGACGCTGTCCATGCTTAGTGCTTGGCTGATCTTCCACGAATCCACTTCGGGGATCTTCGTCATCTGTTGATCATATTTATTGATGGCTCGATTTTGACAAATCCCACTCAGCCCCAGGAGCCCGAGACACTGGTTCCCCCCTTGTGGCTGCTCAGAGGTTAAACTTTCTCAATGATTAGCTTCATCTGGTATAATTTCGGAAAACAAAACACGAAACAAGTCGAGAAGAGAAAGACAAAACTCGGTGAAGAACAACAGACCGAAGAAGAATATTGGTATGAGTTATGTATGCTTACCACTGTACTCCGATCCTCAGGGAAGGAGAAAGCCCCCAGAGGAGAAACGCACAAAGTACGTACCCGCCTGTCCCCAAGTGATCAAGTCATAGTCTTGATAGTCACCGCCGAACTGACGAACAAACTCTATTAGCGTGTTCTAGAACAGAAATTAAGCTGTGTTTATGAAATCACAGGTGCGGAGCGCACTGAGTTGTTAACATGACCCTTGTCTTCCCTCTGAGAGAATCAGCGCCGAGTTCTACTTGTCATTGAACACGAGCAAACTCGTGCAAAAGTAGCGAACAGTCAACAAGGATACTGTGATCGACGAGTACTGAGTACCTAGCTAAAGACAATCGACAGTACTGACCTGCTCGCGACCGGAATCCTGGGAAAGGCCATGCATGCAGGACGGACCGACCAATTGGTCGCTTGTCGAGTTTAGAAACCAGAAACGAACCCAATAGAGCTTGGGGACCTGCAAGAGATGTCACTTGGATCTTGATAGATTGTGCTATATTCCCAGAGGGAAAATGGTACGAATGATTTTAAGTCACAGTTCAAGCTATAGAAGCTAGTGTGCGCGGGGCCCAGGCCCAGGCGTCAGATCGGGGACTGACGGCTGCGGCGTGATCCAATAGAACCCATGATCGGTATTTGTTGATTTGAAATACTTCGCCTGGGACTCAATAATTGATAGTAGGCTGAGTGATTTCCTTATGTTTTCATCCTGTTGTTATCCTTCTCGTCATAGTCTTCCAGCTTTTGCAGCTTTGCCAATGATACTACGGATATTCCAAGTGAGGCGTGCCAGGCTGCCAGCTGCACATTAGTCAACCATCAATGTGAACTCTTGTGATATGTGAGTTGCTGTCACTAGTGCAGGATCTCTATTCATGGAAGATCATCGTACAATGCGAAACGAGGGTTGAGTGTCAAGTTCAATCAAAATATAAGGTAGGGCATATGATTGGTGAAGACCATACACATGGCATAGGTACTTAGGTAACAACATATACTGAACATGGTCAAAGGGTATCATAAAAATTGCTTCTGCCTGCCACTATGATTATTGTATCCATAAATAAAGTCATAGGCAGGCAGGAACATTGCAAACTGACCAGGAGATGACAACAATGAAACAAGCTCAGACTCAGCAAAGTGCAACCACCCTCCTGCGAACTCTCACTCAGCCCTTCCAGCATCCAGGCTCCCTCATTCTCCTCAGTTCGCAGATCGAAGATCTCAGCGCCACGCTCCCAATAGCAATAAATAGCTGCGATAGTCTGAGTTCGAGTCCGCGACCCATGATCCCTTCATCGACCTGAAACTCGAGACTCTGACTCGGACTCGAGGAGACCTCAACGGCAGTGTATGTACTGTGTAACGTTGGTACTCATTTCTGTCAGCACTGGGCTGGGTCCGTAGTCGTACAAGGTCTGCGCAATCCTCCCCCTCTCGTACGGAAAACCCTGCGCCTTTTTCTGTTCGTTTTTACATGTTTGGGTTGCTTGGTTCTTCTGCATTCGGACTACAGTTTGGAATTAGACCGAGACTCGGGAAGTTAGAATCGTCTTGATGTTGTGCACTGATTTGACAGTGGTCAGGAGTCATAGTTCCTGCTGCGGGCCTTCTCAATGTTCGTCCAGTGTTTATCCACAATTCTAATCAATCGATTTCATTGTCATTTGAGGGTAACGCCGGATAAGACTCAAACTAAGGTACATTGCTTGTCGCCGAGACCGCCCATGCAAGTGTCTTGTCTTGAAACAAACCGCCGTGGCACTCACGGTGATGCGGAGGATTTGGAAGTATATTCATTCAAAATCAAGATGGCAAGTGAGATAATGATACAGGTCGGGGAAATAAGAACAGTAAATGGTGTAAAGAACAGACAGCACGCCGGGATCAAGGGAGAATAAACATGTCTTCATCTCTTGACCCAGGTTGGCATCTTGCGAGCCTTGACGTGACCGGGTTTCTTTCTCTCGACGCGACGAGCATCGACGGTAATGACACCAGCTAGAAAAATTGTCAGCAACATTCTTTACTACCCACCGAGGCGGCCTCAACGGTAACGTACCTTTTCGCAAAATTGGCTTCAGCGCCGGCTCATGGACGAGCAGTGCCCGAGCAAGCGCTAATGTGATGGCCTCTGCCTGGCCAGTGACTCCACCTCCCCGAACTGTAGCCCACACATTATACTTGTCTAGTCTCGACGTGCATCTCAGCGGCCAAGTTGCGCTCTCACGGTCGTGCAGACGGGGAAAAGCTTCCGTAAGCGTCTTGCCGTTTACCATGACCTCACCCTCTCCTTCGACAAGGTGGACCACCGCCGAAGAGGTCTTGCGCTTTCCCTTGCCGCGAGCTCGCCCCATCTCGTCCACCGTCGCCGGCGCCGGCTTATTTCCGTACGGGTTACCGGGCCGAAGAAAGGTCTTCAAGGTGTCGCGGACTTCCCCCGGGAGAAGAGCAGGCTCAATGCGATTGAGTCGCTGCAGAATCTTGACCAAGCTCTTGTATTTCTTCGTCGGTACGGGCTCGCCGACAAAGTCGCGGAACTGTGCAAGTTTGAACCATGCCATTCGAGGCGCTTCGCTCGGGGACACCGTAGGTAGTGATGCGTACTTTGCGCAGATACGTTCCAAATTCAATAAATGATCGATGAACTTGGGACTGCCGGAAAAGTAGGCCGGTGATGCGGGAATGACCCGAGCAGGACGGGTAGCGAGTTGGGAGAAATCGATCTCGGGAGCTGCTCGTACCTGAAGAGCATTTCCACCAGTGGTTTGGGCCTCAGTTGCATAACTTCGCGTACCCTTTCGCTGTTGTAATAAGCTCCCCGAAGTGACTGTGGAGGTTCGCAGGATGGACTGCAACTGAGCTGTTCGGACCGTCTGCACCGCCTGAACGATGCAATTAGGCCTCTGCCACGCCATAATTGAGGAAACCGGCAGGCAGGAGCCTTGCTTGAACCGTAGTAGAACTGTCAAAGAATGTAGGGAGAGGGAAATATTGTAGCAGCGTGGTCACCTCGTCGAAATCCTAGCCTATCCTTGTTCTGCCGTTGTTGGGCAAGCCTGAGGTTTTTCGATGACATATCACGTGAACGACCAAACGTTCCTCCGGTCGCCGACGCCGAGTCTTGATTCGCACAAAATTTCGTCGTTCGTTTCCGCCAGAGCCCCTCAGGTGTCGGGTTTTTTTTATTTGAGCAGCTTCTCCTTTTCCCACCCCTCCTCCCTCTTCCTCTCTTTTCCCTCCTACATCTCCCCATCCACACCTCACATTCACAATGGCTTTCGGAAAGCTTTACGGTCTTCCTGTATGTGAGATTCTTGATAATCAGCCCGATTGATTTGATGGATGACATCCATTCAGCTGTCTTGCTTCCGTTGCTTTGGACAGGTGGCTAATCGGAGTGACTCAAACAGGAGAACGGTCGTACCATCGCCGCCCTCGTCGCTGCCAAGTGCAATGACTTGGAGCTCGAGCTGGTTAACACTGAGGCCAACTCTGCCGCTGCCTTCAACCAGTCTGCTGAGTACCTCAAGCTCAGCCCCCTCGGCAAGATCCCTGCTTTCGAGGGTGCCAATGGCTTCACTCTCTCCGAGTCCATCGCCATCGCTGTCTACGGTATGTTTCAATCTTGCTTAAACGTCTCTTTTCCACTACAGCTATGTTGGATTCCTTTACATGATGAGCAATTTTTTATTACTAGTTATCCCTGGCAGAACTACTGTGTTGATAACATTACAACTCTGAATCCCTTTTGGTTACCCCGCCTTTTGGCAGAAAATTTCCCAAAATGGAATTGTCCTTGTTTCATCGTTGCAAACCACCACTGGTCCTGAACATTTTGAGACTGACTGGATTTAAAGTGACATCCCAGAACGAGAAGACCACTCTCCTGGGCAAGACCAAGCAGGACTACGCTGCCATCCTCCGCTGGCTCTCGTTCGTCAACGCTGAGGTCCTCCCCAAGCTCGGTGGCTGGTACCGCCCTCTGATGGGTCTTGACCCCTACAACAAGAAGAACGTTGAAGATGCCGCCAAGGCTGCCAACAAGGCCCTCGCCGTCCTTGAGAAGCACCTCACCGCCAACACCTACCTGGTTGGCGAGCGCATCACCCTCGCCGATTACTTCGGTGCCTCTCTCCTCACCCGCGCTTTCGCTACCGTTCTGGACAAGGCTTGGCGCTCTGAGAACGTTGCCGTCGTCAGATGGTACAACACTATCATCAACCAGGCTCCTTTCAAGGCTGTCGTCCCCAGCCCTGTCTTCGCTGAGGAGGCTATCAAGTACACTCCTCCCAAGAAGGAGGAGAAGCCCAAGGCTGCTCCTGCCAAGCCTGCTGCTCCTGCTGCTGAGCCCGAGGCCCAGCCTGAGAAGAAGCCCAAGCACCCTCTTGAGGCTCTTGGCAAGCCCGAGTTCGTCCTCGATGAGTGGAAGCGTCAGTACTCTAACGAGGACACCCGCCCCGTTGCTCTGCCCTGGTTCTGGCAGAACTACAAGCCCGAGGAGTACTCTCTCTATGCTGTTGACTACAAGTACAACAACGAGCTCAAGCTCACTTTCATGGCTAACAACCTAATCGGTAAGGATTTCACTTCTTTGGATTCATCTTGCTCCCACATTCTGACTTCCCATCCTAGGTGGTTTCCACGCCCGTCTTGAGGCTTCCCGCAAGTACCTCTTCGGTGCTCAGTCCGTCTACGGCGAGAACTACAACTGCGTCGTCCGCGGTGTCTTCCTCGTCCGTGGCCAGGACTGGAAGCCCGCCTTCGAGGTCGCCCCTGACTGGGAGAGCTACGACTTCCGCAAGCTCGACCCCTCCAACCCCGAGGATAAGAAGCTCGTCGAGGACATGTGGGCCTGGGACACCTCCGTCACTGTCGACGGCAAGGAGTACCCCCACGTTGATGGTCACGTCTTCAAATAGATGGTATTCTGGGAATGCTATCAGCAACCTCATGATGTCCTCTCTTCCTCTCATGACATTGGGTTAGCTTCTATATGAACTCAAGCCGGGGCCATAAGCCCTTTGGTTTCAGGATACACTCCATAAGTACCTGCTACCAGAAGGGCTATGGGCCTGGCTTCCCATTTGATATCCCTCTCATCCCCTCCACGCGCCCAATTTGACCCTCCTAATGTCTACGTTGCCCACGACTGAATGGTTTACGTATTTTCATTCGTCGACTTGACTTTCAAAAAAGATTCTCTTCCTAAAATGCATGGATATTGTACATCCACGCTAATGATATCTTGAAATGTGGAATGATAGTAGCTAGTCTAGCCATGAAGAAGCCAAAAAGCACTTCTTGATCCTAGCAGTTTTCTGTTCGTATTATGTATCCAGTAATATGTTCGACGCACGCCGTGGGCGTAGATGATGCATTTGAAAGTCGCCATGCATGTTCTTGGCAAGCCTCACGAGGCTCAAATTGTAATGTATCTATTCAAGACAACCGATAACTTCGCATTTAGATTTACAGCAACGCTTAACAGGGGTATCCTCTCCGTGAATCAATAAAGACAAAAAACAGAACAAAAAGTCGAATCAGTCGCGGCGATCATTCAACGACTCCTCTAGGCGATCGAGAAGGTAGTTTTCCGATTGCACTGAGGAAGCGGGAGACGGAGAACGTCTTGTATGCGATTGCGGCACAGCTGTATCTGTCGGGATAGCGCTGTCGTCACCTTGTGTAGCTGGGGTGCTGTCAATCGGAGTAACCCCTTCGTTGACCCCCTCAGCTGTTATGGCAGAAATAGCAATGGCAGTGGGTGCATTCGCAGGTGCAGCGCCGATAGCGGCGGCAGCCCGTCGCGCCGCTTTCTTCTCCTGTTTGCGAGCTCTCCGTCGTTCCTTGCGTGCCTGGGCTACTTCCTGGGGTGTTGAGGGTGTGGTCGAAGAACTTCCGTTTTGTTGTTGTGGAGACTGATTCACTCCGATGTCGAGATCAAGGATCGTGCTGTTTGTCGCGATGCTTGTCGCGAGCTTTGAGTTCCAGAGCTGGAGCAACTTGCTGACGTCGTCGTGCTGGGCTAGGGCGTCAAGGCATTCCAAGACTTTCGGGAATATGTGAGACTCGTCGATACCCGGCGCGTTCGTGAACTCCGGGATTTCCAGGATGTTGTAGGGCTCGCTGAGTGCCTTGAGTTTGCTATCATCGATGAGAACGGTGTTCGTCTGGTCCCAGCGCGAATTCCCCCGCGCTGCCTTTTTCTTCGTTTTAGACCGACCGCTCTGATGGGAGCTGGGATACGAGGCTTGAATCTCTTGATTGCTCCATACTGTCTCTAGGGTCTTATAGACCTGCACCTTTGACCTGTACTGAGATTTCGAGAGATTCAACTTATCGCGGCCCCATTCAGCTACCAGTGACTTCCTTTTCTCGCCAGGAAAAAGTTTCTCGCAAACGGCGTTTACCGTCTCTGGTTGCGAACTGGACCAGATCATGACTTTGTAGTTTTTCAACAAAGCGTCCAAGAACTGGTCCAGGCCTGTTCTTTTGGCGAAAGAAGGGGGCAGACGTCGATGCTTTCGAAAGATCAGAGTGCCGTTCAAGTCAAGAATGACTAGTAGAGGCTGGCGGTTGGGATTTAGTATCGGGGCCAATAATGATTGCGTCAGATACTCCTTAGTCGGCGCAGGAGGCTCCGGGGTTTTAGACCGCCGATCACGCGCCGGGATTGGGAGCAATGGTTGCGGTGTTGGACCTTGAGAACTGCTTCCAGTAGGGCCAGCTGTTGTAGGATACATCGGGTCGAAGGGACAGAACGGGAATCCGCCGAAAACTGGTGGTGCCAATGCTGGATTGGAAACACTCAAGTTCATGGGAGGGAATTGGGCCATCGGATGCATGAAAGGCAGTATCTTTCCAGGGTTACTCAAGTCTGGCATTGGCGGGAAACCGTAAGGGGTGAACGGGAAATTATTGGGCAAATTCTGCGATTGTGGCGATTGTAAGTGTGATAGGTGTAACGGGACGGACGGCAGCTGCATAGCCGTGTTGTTAAAAGCGTCTGGTGTATTTGATGGTATAGGCAAAACGGGAATCGAGTTGATATTCGGGTCAAATGGCGGAATGGTAGACGGCACATTGAAGGCCTGCTGTATTTGCATGTGGGGAACTTGAGCTTGTTGAGAGCCTGACGGATGCGAACTATACGGTGACGGTTCTTCTTTTGACATTCTGTCAAAAGATCTGGCATTGCGCCGTATACCGTCCTTCCGCGAACCGCTCGACACAGCATTGTCAGATCCGGAGGAAATCACTGTTGCGGAGCGCCAACCGGCGTTGTTCGAATCCCAACGACCTTTATATGGCCTCCATGATTTCCTTGAATTCTGGCTTGTATCGTGTAGACCATTATTGTTCTGTGGATGATATCCTGCTTGATGTGTACCATCTCTCGCAGCTTTTGATCGTGTCATGCCTAGATCTTCGAGAGCACTACCGACGGTAGCTTGCAGTTGGGGTTTCTTCGACGGGTTGATATGCGGTGGCGCCCTCAAAACAGAATTGGCTGGCACTTTGAGATGGGGCAGGACCTATACAGGACAACCAAGTGTTCAGTCGCCGACCATGGTGATCACCTGTACCTGGATTCGTAACACACCTTCTCGGACGCCCCGCCTTGGAGCATGCGGGGGTAGACAGCAGTCACTGACAGCGGCAGAGATGAGATAAACGAAGCAAGCCTAACGAATGGATGGACCCAGCGCCTAAAAACCATGAAGTAGACGAAGAATTGACGCTGCACGTAAGGAAAGAAAGAATGACCAAGATTGTCTGCGCTTGGATGGATGGAAGAGCGGCAAAATAAAAAGGCGACAACAGACCATCGCCGCGCGGAAAGAAAAGCGGCCAACGAGAGTCCCGCCGCCAAGCCCACCGCCTTATTCAGTGGCAGTATAATCAACTTTTTTCTGCGCTGGTCTTCACCGCCGCAGAGTATTTGAGGCTCAGCTGGTTACTGCGCTCTTATACTTTGCTCCAGTCCATTCGCTGTTATACACATCGAGCTAAATTCGCAGAAGAGGATGGCGGTTTCTGATCTTCTCAACCGGCGAGTGCGAGCCCTACCAGACGAGGACGAAGAGGTTTACTCTGGAGCATCTGCATCAGAGTCGGAAAGTAATGATGAAGAGGTCGAGGGATCAGGATCGAATATTAGCGATGATAGTTCAGAAGGGGACTACGGCTCTGAGGTAAGCCTCCCAAAATCTTGCGCTAGGTTTCACACTTTCTAAAAGTCATCATCAGTCCCAAGATGGGTCAGATGCCATGAGCAACGAAAACGAGGAGGAAGATGACGAGGACGATGAAGACAGCGACGACGACCAAGACGATGTACAGGCTTCATTAAGCAACATCTCTTTCGGTGCACTCGCCAAAGCGCAAGCCTCATTAGGAGCCAAAGCCAAGCGCAAATCCAAAGCCACCCAATCAACAACAGATGATGGAGAAACCCCAGCTGCCTCCCCATTAGACGACATTCGCGCACGCATCCGCGAAGCCCGTGAACAGAAACGACAGGGATCCTCAAAGTCGAAAGACTCCGAGAAGCCTTCTCGCTCCTCCAAACACGCACCGATGGTGCAGTCATCCAAACACCCCGTTACCCGCAAGCGCACCATCATCGAGCCGCCGGCCGCCCTTAAATCGCGGGACCCGCGTTTTGATCCCGCGGTACGCAGCCAAAGCGGGCGTAGTGAAGCTTCCCAAAGCGCCTACGCCTTCTTGGACGATTACCGCGCTGCGGAGCTCAAGGAAATGAAGGAGAAGCTCGCAAAGACCAAGGACCCGAGACAGAAGGAGGCCTTGAAGCATGATATCCGGTCGGCTACGGACCGTCTCCGCACAATTGAAAACAGAAGACGGGAGAAGGAGGTATTAGCGGAGCACAAGAAACGAGAGAAGGAGCTCATCCGCGAAGGCAAGAAGAGTAACCCCTACTTCCTCAAGAAGTCAGACCTCAAGAAGCAGGTGTTGCTTAAGAAGTATGAGAGCATGGGCTCTAGGCAACGTGTGAAGGCGCTAGAGAGAAGGCAGAAGAAGTTGACTGCTAAGGAGAGGAAGGAAATGCCTATGGAGCGACGCGGACTTGGGAATGATTCCACGCCTTACAATGATGGCGGCGGCGGTAAACGCAGGCGGCTTGCTTAGAGACATTGTGCCCATATCTTCAATCCGTCAATGCTTTATGGCGAAACCGTTTGTTTCCTTCTACATTATTTCTTCTATGAAAGGCTTGCGTCTGGACTCTGAATAGATCAAGGGAATGATCATGAGAACTCATTATTAAAAGTTGACTGTATCTACCAGTCCACATTAATTGTGCTATAAAAAAAACTGCAAGATGACGTCTCTTCCGAGTTATCACCAGTCCTGATTCGAGAGGATTGATCTGCGCCGGGCATTACTGTAAGGTGCAGGACAAGAAAAAAGAACGTTTTAAGGGAAAAAGGAAACGAGCTTTGTCTGACGGAAATGCTATGTCGAAATGGAAGAAAAGAAAATGGGGACGAAAACAATGGTATCACAACAAGATGACCCAAATCAGCGGCGACAAATGCCAGCAATGATATCGGCGGAGGAGAAGAACGATATGGACATAGTATTGTGTAAAGTTGGCGTGGTCCAGCACCCGATCCAAAAAAAAAGATACAACGCCAGTGAACAGCAGCCCCCAAAAAAGCGGAAAGAAGAGACCCAAGGAGTAAATCAGAAATGATAACAGCTCCTGCTCTGGGGTCAGGGAGGTTCGAAAAAATTCGTAAGGATAAGTCGTAAGTCTCGCAATCATCAATCTCAACTGACTAATCTCATTCAGTCAAAAAGCTTCGTGCCTGTCCGATTCTCAGCTGTTTTGAATCTCAGTATACCAAGACCGCTTTTGATTTGGGCCCATGTGAGTTCTTTTGCGAGATGCAGAGGATCTGAGCACCGCAAGATCTGACTTGTAGAATAAAGCCCAAAGCTGAAACAAGCGAATAACATCAGACAGAATGATAAGATACAACAGGCCCCAGATGAGCCTGGTTCATGAATGAAAAAGATCCCAAGCCCTGGCACACAGGCTGAGAAACTCTTCCTTCTTTCTCCGTTGTGTCTCAGGAGAGTCTCTGCCTGCTCCAAAGGGCCCGTAAGTGGTGTTTGTGCCAGAAACTAGAGCTGGATTGGGTCGATAGTGCGGTTCGGGGCCATGGCCCAAGGGGGGACTTCCGTTATCTTGTTCATATTCACTTCTCGGGCGCCGGCGAGCAGTTCCCTCGGTTGACTGTAATACAGGTTGGAGAGGCTGATGGGGCGCCGAAGGTGCAGCGTCAGTACTAGTGCGCGACTTGGCTTGTCCATTGTTTACATGAGGAGACGGTGGAGTTGGAGGCTGGTGGCCGCCATAGTGAACAATGCGTGGTAGAAGCTCCTCTCGTCCACCAGCTAATTCATGGACAGCCTCCTCTGCGGATCGGTACTCCCGAGGTCGACCTTGCGCTTGCGCAGCAGATCCCGGCATCCTTGGAGATGGTAACGGCGGAAGGTTATTGGACTGTGACGGATTTGCGCCTGAAACAGCCTGATAGTATGTGCCGCGATTAGGATCCCGGTCACGGGAGCCTAGAGCATCAGAGCCAAAGACGTCGGATAGCGGGGGAAGGCGGTTATTTGTTTGAGTAGCAGGTACATGGTGAATGTGAGAAGTTGACCCGAGGGTAGGGCTTTGGTTCACAACGTGCCGAGTCAGCGGCTGCGCTTGGTATCGACCTGTAAAGGTTTGATTCAGCGGCGCCGATTGAATGACACGCTCGTTCGCAAATTGTGCAGCAGACGGAGGCACGATTGACAGACCAGGCGGAGGTCTACGCTTGGAGGCGCCCGTTTTGGGGGCACCAAATGAGTTTGACTCCGATGGTTTAACACCATCCGGACCGTCATCCTTGGCCGACTTGTGCAACCGGGATTCTATGATGGACCTCTGCTGGTCTCGCACGGAAAGACTTCTTTGAAGCTGCTCCCTCATAATCGGGTCATGAGTTTGAAACCCTGGTGACAAGCATGCGATCCCAACGTCATGCATGGTAACTCCGTCACGGGCTGTCATGGGACCACCGGCGGCACGAGCTGTAAGACCTCCCGCAGCCGGGAGGCTGGTAGAGAGGTCCAGCTTTCGGGGTCGGGGCCGAGTGTGGGTCTGAGTTTGCATAGCAGGCGAAGAGGGCGGTTCCTTTTTCACTATCACCTTGGGGGGGATGCTTCCATTTTGTGATCTAGACAATGCAGCAAAAATAAAGTGTTAGCAAACACCAGATCACCCCTTTTGCGTATTATAAATCGAGGCACTTACGATGGCGATGTGTGTTTTCGTCCCGGTGGTGAACTTTTCGTCGCTGCAGATCCATCTTGTGAGACGCCAAATGCTCGTGGAGGTGTCAAACTGGAGCTGGAACTTGTCGTTGTCGGTGCCAGGGTCGGGCAATTTTTTGGACTCGGATCGCGATTCATATGCGGCGACGGCAATGGAGCGGCTGTAGCAGGTGCAACCGCCGTAGACATGATAGTATAAAGTCTATTTAAGAATATCCCGGAAAACTAGTTGTTTAAATGCAATGGTATGGAACGGACAGCGAACCAGATTGACTGAATAACGGAGTTGTTGTCCTCGGTAAGTCGCACAGGTCCGCGGACGAAGCAAGACGGTGCGGAACAATCAGAGTATGTGGATCGGACAGTACTCCGTATATATCGCTGGTTGAAGCTCGGAGAGTCTAGAGTAGGTATAGGTCTGTGCCGCACTCAGTGTGTATAGGCCTCGTGTATATGATGGTGTTGATTCGATGGTTGAGGAGAGGTGGTATCGAAAAGTCCGGGAAATCGAAGTGTCTTTCTGTTAGAGAATCGACTTCGGCTGTTGGTAACTTGGTAGGCGTAAAGTTGAATCGCGCGCGGATGGGAGAGCGCGGCGGTGGTTAGCGGCTATGCTGGGCTTTTCCTCTTTTCAAGGAGTGAAAGCTGCCTAGCCAACAAATATCCAGAAAAAGCAACCCGAAACACAAACAGCGACAAGCAGAGCACCGCCGCTGCCAAGTCAAGGGGCAGTCAAGAAGACGAGCGAAGAGTCACGGTACCGAGAGATATGACCCACGCCCAAAAGGAGAATGAATTGAAAAGAAAAATGCTGCTGGAGGTGTGACACGAAGTGGTCAGACACTTTCGGGGAGGGCGGTTAAGTAAAGCTGGCTGGCGGCAGCGTGACGGCGCCGACAGGGTCGGTCAGGCCGGAGATCGATCCAGAGCAACAAGCGAGAGAAAATGGACAGGGATTTCGACAGGTCTGGCCAACTAGGATGCAGGCAAACAGGCAAGTTGCCTAAAAAGGAGAGAGAGAACAAAGACAAGGCTAAGACACAAGAAATATGGAAAAAGAAGAAAAGAAGAGTTAAGTGACAGGTGATATTGAGAAAGGTCAAAGGGGGAAGAGGGGAGGAAAGAGAGAGAACCAAGGACGAAGACAGGTATGACTGGAAGACAGATATAAGACGACGGACTGAGAGAAGGCAATAAAATAATATAATAATAACGATAATGATAACAATGAAAATCAAGATGAGAAATCAGAAACAAAATGGCGTATACTATCTAATA